CTCTCTCTCTCTCTCTCTCTCTCTCTCTCTCTCTCTCTGCTTACTGCCTCTCTCTCTTGCTTACTGCCTGCAGGTCTTGTGAAGCTACAAGCTGCTCTAGCACTCATGCCTGTCTACTTCCAGCCATGTTGATCATGGACTAAACTAAAACTAAGCAAGCCCCCAATTAAGTGCTTTCTTTTATGGGAGTTACCTTGGTGGTGCTATCTCTTCACAGCAAAGAATACTATCTAAGACAAGTTAGAATGACTGTTCTGAATATTATATGATTTTTAAATTAGAATAACATGACATGTTTGGTACATTGTCAGATTCTAAAAGAGTTCTTTAACAGTTTATCTTCTGTCTCCATCTCTCGTAAACTCTTTCCCCTTCACTGTGTTTTACAGTTCTTTGTCTTTGAGCCTCTGTATCATCTACTTTTCTTAAACCAGCCACCTACAGCCTGCTTAGCTCACTGATCTCTCTGCATCATCCGCATCCCTGACTAGCCTTCCCTTGTCTCCACACCTCAGGCTGAGCAGCACAAGCACACCTCTTCATCACACTCCAAGCCACTCATCTCCCGCATTGATTAGCTTAAGTGAACCAAGGGACAAGCACCATGTTTTGTTCCCTGCCACATTCCTAGGTCCCTGTGGAGTTTTTCATACCTTATAGGATAAGGGTTAAAGGAGTGATCTCTGCCATTTTTTCTTCCTTCTGGCTTACAGTCTCTGTGCTGGTTGATTACGATAACCATAGCAGGTATTATCAGGTCAAGTGCCTATTCTTTTCTCCTGAAGAATGTGCTTTGCTTTGATCTAGGCGATCAAAGTACACTCCACTGCTTACTAAGCACTCATCCTCTATTCTAGGAACCTTAGGAGAGCTAGATGCCCTGATGGATCAAGTTCATATGCAGAACCCAGACTGGCAGCATCCTTCAGATCTTACCACACGGTAAGTAGGCTTCCTTCTTTGAAGAAGGAAAGGATAGGATTGGGTTACCAGAGAGATAAGGTGAGTAGTTGGGTTATACTTGTTTATTTCCAGAAAATGAAGCATGGCCTTAGAATGAACTAAAAATTGGGGATTAAAATTCAGGTTCTAATATTAGATATACAATGTTTCACTAACTAGCTGTATGATTTTTATTAATTCAATTTTATGGTTATCTATGAATTTTTTGGTACCAAAACTCAAGGTTACTTTTTATTTATTCGTGTGCATGGGGGAGTGCTCACATGCTGGGGTACTCATGTGGAGGCCAGAGACGAACTTAGTGGAGTTAGTTCCCCCTTCACTTTTACATAGGTTCGAGGAGTTGAACTCAGATTGTCAGTTTTTTTGTTGAAAATGTTTTTCCCCACTGAGCCATCTTGCTGGCCCCAAAATCATGTTACCATTGCCCCTTCCTCCTCTTCATTTCTTCCCCTTCTTCTTTCTTCAGTGGTATGAGGTTTTGCTATTTAGGCCGGCCTCGGCCTTCTAATATTACTTATTATATAGTCATATACTGTCATGTCCAGCTTAAGTGTCCAGAGTACTAGACTGGGCAGGATAGCACACAGTTTTAATCGCAGCACTTGGGAGGCAGATGCCAGTGGATCTCTGTTGTGGATAGCCCCAGCCTTGTATTTTGATGCTAGTTCCACTTTCCTGGGAGGGGCTGCAGAGGAGGAGTGAGTCTGTACACAGGTGACTTCTTGTGAACCTTCTGTCCAATTAAATTTGTAAAATAAAGGCTAGAGCCTGTGATTGGGCAGTAGAAGGGGAGGTAGAGAAAAAGGCTTAGGGGAGGAGAGAGGAAGAAGTCGACAGGAGGAAGCCAAAGGAGGACTAAGTCAGTGGAGGAGCAGGAGGTAGGACAATGGAGAAGCATGTGGCCTGGAAAAACCACAAGTTATGAGGGATCTCATAGCTGGGGAATAGAGTAGTGTAATGGTAAATCTGCCCAATCTAGGCGTGCAGTTTATATCCATAATTATTGAGTGTGTTTTCCTTGACTGGACTTATTTGGGTCGGAGATTTACTGCAACAAATTGGCACCCAAAGTGGGGTGCCACTTTGTTGTGCTAATTATTTAAAACTAGCCTCTGGTTCATCTGACTAAGCTGCAGTGGCTCTGCCTAGCCCAGCCGCCATGTTTCTTGGCCTGAGGCCACATGTGCACTGCAGCTAGAACCGGCCCGCCAGAAACACCAGCCCTGCCACCCACTAGATGCCAGCGTGAGAGATGGCTCTTCCAGTCTTCCACACTGTCTCCACAAGGCAGGGCATTGCCAAGACCATTCCGCCATCCATGCGGGTCCAGTAAGAGACTGAGACTCTAGTTCTTATAGATTAATCAAAGGCATATATATATTTGGTAATGATCAGTAACAGGATACCCATACAATCAGAAGTGTAACCCAATACCCAACCTAGATATACCAACTACCTTTGCTACAGACACGTGAACATACACCTCCATCTCCTCTCTGTCTCTTGTTCTCCTCTCCTGTCTCCTAGCTCCTCCTCTTCTTTTTTCTCCTCTTCCTTTGGTAGGAGGAGTTAGGAGAGGAAGAGGTGGAGTAAGGAGGGCTGGTTCTAGCTGCAGCGCACATGTGGCCTCAGGTCGAGAAACATGGCGGCTGGGCTAGGCAGAGCCACTGCAGCTTAGATAGTCGGATGAACCAGAGGCTAGTTTTAAATAATTACCACAACAAATCTCTGTGAGTTCAAGGCCAATCTGGTTTACACAGCAAGTTCCAGGCTGGCCAGGATTGCATAATGAGACCGTCTCAAAAAAATAAAAAATCTAGAGCATGTGTTTGTCTGGGTCTCCTTATGTTGACAGGCTTATCTTCAAAATCATCATCTTTCCACTTCTGCTTCCTGGGCGGCAGGCTTTACAGGCAGGTACCACCACACCTACAACCAAACTAAAATCTGAGTTTGGGGCTAACAAGGTGGCTTAGTGAGAAAAGGCAATTAATGCCAAGCTTATCAACTTGAATTCGTCCCTAGAACCCAGATAGTAGGAGAGAATGAACTGCTGTAAGTTCTCTTCTGCTTGCTACACATGATCTGTGGCACATGGGCACCTGCACCACACATGTGTGTACACATAGTTAATTAATTGATTAGATAGTTGATTAATTAATTAGTTAAATTTTAAAAAAATTCTATGTTCTTGATCCAGTACAGTTTTAACTTTAATTCAGTGACTCAACAACCTTAGGATAGGCATGGTGGCACACACTGTAGTCCCAGCACTTCTGGCAGATCTCCGTAAATTTGAGGCCACCCTGGCACACTTAAAGCCTTGGTGTTGCTATAACAGTTTTCTCTGACATTCCGAATTAGGGCATCAGGAAATCATAGAGACTACCTATATACTCAAAGTTGAGCACATCTCATCATTTTACCTGGATAATTTCAAGTCTTCTATGTCTGTCATTGCTCAAGTACTGTTCTTAACTCAGAAGCCAGGGAGATTCTTTTAAAGCGCAGGTTGGGTTCTCTTTTTTTCTCACTCTGTCCCATTGCTTCCAACCAACTTTCCATCCTCAGTCCTCTAAGAATGCCGTGTGCTTTGCCTGACTGCCGGCCTCACCTACTACTGTCATTCCTTAGTCCTCTAGTTACCCTGCCTCATCAGAATCACAGCAGCTACTCCCAGTGCTCTGGAAGCAGAAGCAGAATAATTGTTATAGATTCTAAGCTATGTTGGGGTACATAGCAAGAGTCTCTCAAAATCAATGAAAGAAGGAACAAACAAAGCAAAACAAGACAACATAAGCAGTTCTCAGATGGTGTAGGGATAGAAATATAGCTCTATTGTAAGCTCTGGATCCAGTACCCAATACAGACACACACCTCAGGAAAAGAAGGAGGGCAATGTAATATAATGTGTACTAAGTACATTTTGGAGTCAGATAATGAATAGTAGTCTAGGCTTTTCTCCCCGCTCCTTTGTATGACTTTAGGAAAGTTACTTAACCTGAGGCCTTATTTACTTACTAGTGTAGAAGTTACTGCCATTTCTTTACTAGTGGGATATCACTAATATTAACTTAGATGGGGTGTTTAAAGAATTTAGCACGTATTTTCATGTAATGATAGGTAAAAGTTAAGTACTGCTTCTCAACAATTACCTGTGTCATTTCCAGCCTTAACTCAGGGAGAAAGGGTCTAAGAATCCCTTTGAGTCAGTATTATTGCAACGCCCAGCTGGGTCCTTTGTACACAGCTTGCACATGGAGGTCAGAGGACAATACCCAGGAGTTAGTTCTTCCTTCCCACATGTGGGTTCTGGGCATTGAATTCAAGTTGGTTAGGTTTATTTGCAGATACTTTGACCCACTGGGCCATCTTGCTGACCCTCTTTAACCTTGGCCTCCTCAGTATTGGGATTATATATGTGATTCCACCGCACCTGACTAAAAATGTGTGTCTTTGACAAGCTTCCTAAGTTATTAGCAACATTTTAGGAATTGAGGTTGTGTCTTTTTTTTGTTTTTGTTTTTTTTTGAGACAGGATATCTCTGTGTAGATCAGGCTGGCCTTGAACTCAGATCTGTCCGCCTTGGCCTCCCTACTGCTGGAATTAAAGGTGTGTGCCACCACTGCCAGGGTTACAGGTGACTCTCGGTCCTTATTATGGGTCTTTGTGTTTGGCTATTCAGTCTCTCAACTTACCACACGATATTCACATGATGACTTGCCTTCTCTGGGGATTTTTTTTTTTTTAAATCTAATGCAATGCATGTGGCCTAAGCAACCTTGACCTATGTGGCAGGGCTGTCCTGTTGGAGGCAAGGTCTGATGAAGTGGTGAAATACAGATCTTCTCTAAACATTTCTAGAAGGAGAAATTGTTTTTCTCCTTTAATTATTTTGTTTGAGACAGGGCCCTATGTAGCTCACATTGGCCTTGCACTCATGCGGCTGAGAGTGCCCTCTCTTCCCAGTGCTGGTGATAACAGATAGACACACCGTGCCTGGCTCTTAAACATTCAAGGCTGGCTTTCCATAGAACATGGTGTGTATGGCACATATCATAACAATACCTGTGTAGGAATGAGGTGATGTTGAGAGTTGGAAGGAGATAGCATTTATGATGGCTTTCCTATAATTAAAATAGTATAAAGTTTCTAAAATTATAACATCAAAATATAATATTAGCCATGCATGGTAGCATGTCCTTCCAGCACTCAGGAGGCAGAATCAGGCAGATCTCTGTGAATTTGAGGGCAGCTTGGTCTACATAGTGAGTTCCAGAGAAACCAGGGATATGCAGAGAGAAACCCTGCCTCAAATAAACAGACAACAACATATATATATATATAATCTGATTTCTACAAGAAAAAATATCTTTTGGGGTTTTTCAAGACAGGGTCTCTCTGTCTTGAGAGACTTGGCTGTCAAGCCTTGGCTGTCTTGGAAGTTACTCTCTCTGTAAACCAGGCTGGGCCTGAACTCACAAAGATCAGCCTGCCTCTGCCTCCCAAGTTCTTGTGTGCCACCACTGCCTGTCTGAAATAAACATATCTTTAAAAGTAGTTGTGCTAGCTATATGTGTACAAATGACCATTCCAGCTGAAAATCCTTTCTGTTTTTGTTCTCCTTCTCTCAATAGAAATTATGCCCGGTTCCGACAGAGACCTCTGCAGAGATACAGTCTGAGTCAGTGGGTTGACAGAAACAAGCGAAGCCACCATCGTTTCCAGCGTCTCCCAGACTTCTCTTACAGCCCATACGTTTCATCCCATCAACAGTGACAGTTCCTACTAAGGGTCCAGTCACAGCAGCATCGTATTTTCCTCTGCTATTTTTGTTTGTATATTTTGAGTTTTATTTTTCACAAGATTTTTATTTAAAGAATTTGTCACCTTTTGGAAATGCCCATTACTGTCTTGATTTTTTTTTTTTAATGAGAACCACCTCCCATCCCGTTTGTGTGTCTGTCTGTTGTATATGTTTCAGCAATGCTTAAGTAGTGTTTTTCTGTTTGTTCTTTGTTGTTGTTGTTGCTGTTTTTACATTTTAAATGAAGGTAATTCCCTTATGAAGGCCTGTGTTAAGTCAGAACATCCAGGCTTTTAAGTAAATTCCAGCTGTAAGCGCAGGCAGAGGCTACTTGTACTACCCGAAAGAAATATTTCAGTCTACTGTAAGGAAGAGAGGTGGCTTTGCAGGCTAAGAGCCGGTGTTACTGTTGTTGACTTGTGAATAGATAGAAGTCACTGTTAACAACCCCTCTTTTTAAATTTAAGTTTCTTGAATACTTGTCAGTATTTTAATGTTGCCAATTCAGTACATTTGAAATAGGATAGAGAAGGAGAAAAGTTCTGTTGAAAGGATAGATTAAAAATGTAAATCTTCTCCTTTCTGTACCCATTAGCTGCCTTTTAAAAAAATTATTATTAATGGCTTATTCTCTGTTTAATATGTTCGTTCATAATGTTTGAAATCTTACACATCTTAACTGACAGAAGACAACTGATTAATCCTTGTTGAATACTCTGTGGTCTTGTGACTGGTTGATTTCTCTGCACCTTTTAAGATTTTTTTTTTTCCTTTTCCCACTCCCAGTGACTAGTCTAATCCTGGAGCTTTACAGGAAGTGTTCTTATATCCTGTTAGACTTAGACATGCCTTTCAGAGTGCCCTCTGTCTGCTGAAGAAATACCACCAGAATCTTGACTTGTTGTTAGGCCAGCGTAATTGAGATGTCTAGGAGTCTTCAGTTTCTCCTGCAGAACCCCAAGTTTATGTGTTGTTGCTATTCAAGGAACCTCTTCCTATGAATCCTTCAGAGGGCTACTCTTTTGCCTCTCCTGTTAGTTACAGGCACCCGTACACCCTGGATGTTAGCATTACAGCATGTAGGCCCTTGTCTCCTGTTAGTTAGAGGCACCCTTACACCCTGGATGCCAGCGTTGTAGCCTGTGGTCCCTTGTCTCACAGTACTCGAGCATCTAGGGAAAGTATGGTTGAGCCCATGCACCACCACATCACTGGCTCTTGAGTAAGGTGTGGTATTCCAGCCAGAGCTGATAGGCTCTGTGTACTGTCTTAGTGGATGTCTTAGAAGATTTGTATTTCTTATAGGCAGCTCTAGACATCATTTTGAGAGGGTTTACAATATGACATTCCTGCTGCTGTAGTCACTGTGAAGGTGATTCATAGCTGCCTAGCCTCTGTGTGCTTTTCTTTCTTTAGTCTCATATGTGGCTAACCCACCTTAAGTAGTCTACTCCATTCCAGAAAAATGATCTTTTTGTTCTGTTTTGTTTTTGTTTTTCAAGATAGGGTTTCTTTGTATACTCCTGGCTGTCCTGGAACTCGCTCTAATGACCAGGCTGGCCACAGAGATCTGCCTGCCTTGCCTTCTCACTGCTGGGATTAAAGGCATGGATCACTACTGTTCAGCTAAAAAAGTGACTGTGATTAGGAAAATCTTGATTTCGTTTGTTTGTTTTTAAGCCTTTAGTAGGTTTGGATAAATGTTCCCAGGTATTTGTTGGTTTTATCCAGTCAAGGTTTTTTTTTTCCCTTCCTTACTTTTCTTGTGGCAGGATCTCTCCTGTTAAGCCTAGACTAGCCCTTCAACACACTATTTAGCCCAAGATGGTCTTGCACTTCTGATTTTTCTGCCCCACCTCTCAAATACTAGGATTGAAGGTGTGCACCATCATGCCCAGGAAGAACTTTCTCTCCCTCCAGCCCCAACCCTGAGATGGGTTTTTTTGTGTAGCCCTCCTGGCTCGGTGGACCAGGCTGGCCTCAGAACTCACAGAGATTTGCCTGCCTCTACCTTCTTAGTGCTGGGATTAAAGGTGTGCACCACCACGACCTGCTTTTGACTTTTTTTTTTTTTCCCCAGAAAGAATTTTCTTTTTCTTTTTTCCTTTTCTTTCTTCTCTTTCTTTCTTTTTTTTTTTGTTTTTTTTTTTAGGTTTTCTCTGTGTAGCCCTGGCTGTCCTGGAACTCACTCTGTAGAAATCCACCTCCCTTTGCCTCCCAAGTGCTGGGATTAAAGGCATGCACCACCACCGCCCGGCCATAAAGAATTTTCTATTCCTTGGTTATTTGGTTTAGATTCTGGGACTAGACTTTGAAAGGCAATAGTCCAGTCGCTTCTCTTGGTCGGCACAGTTGTCCTTGACCTCAGTGGTCACTTGTCTGAGATACTGTAAGTTAGCCTGATAGACTGAGATATGCCAAACAATCCAGTTAGCCTGATAGACTGAGATATGCCAAACAATCCACCTTTGGGACCAAAACCTTGTTCAGATTAAATAGAGCTGGAGTAGCTAGCATGGTGGCTGAGTAGTTCCACGGGTGGGTGACAGGGAGCAAAGGGACAGCATTTTGCGTAGACAAAACTCTGAGATGTTCCTGCTCTCCTGGAACCAGGAGGAATTAAGACTGAATGTGTAATGGGAGCATTGCCTTTGCCAAATCAGATGAGTGACAGGTTAACTAGAAAATGTGACAATCACATTTCCTCTAGCTCAGATAATTCTGTTTTTCCAAAGTGTTAGCAGCTAATTAAGTCTGGTGGACGGGGGGAGGAGAGAGCTGTTCTGTAGTGGTTAACATGGTATTCTTGAAGGAGAAGAAAAAGCCAAAGAAAACTCATCTGGCATGTTAGCCTTAAAGATGGTAATGGGCAGAACCTGGAGTTTAATCTCTTCAGAGCTGCATATCTCTTAAGTCTTGTATTGCAGATTAAATTCTTGCTGTATTTTTAAATTTGAGTAAGGGTTATGTGCATTTAACTGTGTACCTGTCTTTTATCATCCCTGATGACATTCTTACCATAGGGGTCTTGACAAAGCAAAGTAAAGATGTGTTGTTTATAATAGCTCACGTGTAAGTTAGGAGCCTAAATAACAATAGCTTTGCATCTAATCTGGGCTCCGATTTACTGGCATTGTTGTCAGGGTCGATTATGAAACTGAAGTTTGGTGCCTCCTTTTTTATCATGTTTTTCCCTTGTAGCAGTTGTGTTAATGTCATTAAAAAGAAATAAAAGTTCTTGTCAGTAGCATATGTGCTGTGGCCGTCTGTTCCGGGCTTTGGAGGAGCACTCTTGCCTTCCTCTGCGTAGGTCGTTCAGTAGGACATGGGAGGGTGGCAGCATGTAGTAGAATATGATTCTGGGAGGGAGAGAGCGCTTTGCTCCCTGTTCTATTGAGGGTAAATTACAGTGCTGAGGAAGGCGTTCCAGCAGTTAAGAAATGTTGGAATTGATTGGGATTTGCAGCTACATATGGTACATGTCAGAAGCCTGACACTGGGAGAGCCTGAAATATCCCTGTGCTGCTGTTTTTGCAGAGGGGGGAAGACCAGGCAGCCGACAGCAGGCAGGCCGTGCCTTGCGTTCCTTTCCCATGGATCCCTGGTTGGCCACTGTGTCTGTTTAGGAAACCATGCTGTTCCAGGGCATTCTCCCTTTGGAAATAGGAGAAACCAGAATCAGTAATTTGAAATTCGTGGGTGTTCTTAAACCAACTTCTCCAGAAATTGTTGCTCCAAGAACACCTGTCCAGTGTGAAAATTGGATGAATGTGGGTAAATGCAGGAAGGAGAGCACTCATTAGATTCCTTTTATGGACCCAAGCTTCCCTGGAGCAAGGATACAAGGACAGCAATAATAGATTGTCACCTACATTAGCCAGTGCTCTTAAACTCTCAGCTCCTGCTGAGAAAATAGCTAGCAACATACTTGGACAGGCTCTCTGACCTGCTGTTCTTTACATGTTGCAGGTATTTTGAGACAGGATCTCACTATGAAACCCAGACTGCTGACTTCAAACTTAAGTCCTGCCTCCATCTCCTGAAAGGAAGGAGATTACAGACAAGTGTTACCATGCCAAGTTTTGTCTGGTGTGTGTGTGTGTGTCTGTGTCTGTGCCTGTGTCTGTGTGTCTCTGTGTGTGTGTGTTTTCTAGACAAAGCCGTTCTTACTCTAGCTAAAAGCCTATGCAGAAATGTGGTACACACTTAGCTGTTTGATATGCTTGTCTCAGTGTGTGGTGTTCTTAACTGTGTATATGTATTGTTCTTGTTAAGTGTAGAGGAGCTTTTGGTGATTGTTTCCTGCTTATCAGTGTTGGGTTTGACCATCTCTAGCAAAGATTTCAATGACCAGGGTGAATTCTCTGAAATGATGGTGTCTCATTTATCTTGTTAAAGAGAAGTGGGGAGAAAAAGGAGAAATGGGCCAGACTCATTCTCTAAGAAGCCCATCTTGAGCTTTTATAGGATGAGAAACTAATATCCTCCTTTATTCCCTAAATAATCCAAAGATTCAGGAGAGGGGTGTGTGTGTGTGTGTATCTGTGTGTGAAAGAGAGTAAGTGTGTGTGCATGAACACACTGGAGGCACCTGTTGGGTAAATATTTCCATTTGTCACAGAGGCAACTGGTCGGTGTTGGAATTCCTTAATAAATAAGCACCTGCCTTGTCATTCCAACCCATTTATTCCTCCATAACAGCTGAAACATGTCATAGATGGAAACTCTGGCCTTCCCCAGCACTCAGCCAGAAACGGGAGGAATATGATCTTTGGGATAACCTTTAAAAGCAGCCCAGTGGCAATCCTGAAATATATCACTAGGCTACTATCTGAGTACAGAGATGTCCTTAACTTCACTTCAGCTTGTATTTTCAAGTTGGTATTTTTTTTTAATCTGTGGGCTGGGCCTGGGGGTGGTCAGAATCCTGTTTATAGAAGCAATACTTAAAACAAAGTTCAGTAAGTAAATAAAGTCTGAAACCTCGTATGGACGGTCTGGTGAGATGTTAGCTGTGTGTGTAGAGGGCTGGATTTGATTTTGGAGGATCCCTGCACTGAGGACTGCCATGCCCACTCCAGTGGCATCCGTGTGACCTGGTCACTAGATTGAGGCACAAAGTCCAAGGAACTCAGCCTTGAGTACCTTTTTGAGCTTTGTTGCAGTTCTTTTGATTACAATGATTTGTGCTGGTGTTGCAGCTATCAGGATTGGCAGTGGAGGTCGCTTCTGTGTTCAAGAAGGTCATGTTCCTTGAAAATTAGATATTGAGGAGCCATTGAGATCAGTTCCTCTCTTTGTTGCCAAACTTCCTCCTGTCCTTCAAGCAATGATTAAAACAAGATATCAAAAACCTAAGCGGAGGAATAGCATACGGGACCAGTTGCAGCAAGAAGAGTTATTTGCTAAAACTCCTGAAAAGACTCTTTTCCAAGAAAAGGCAAATGAAAGTAGTTTTCCCACAAATGAGACTGTCACTATTATGACTCAAAAGGGTCCAGTTTATGTTATAGGAACAGATTGTGGATGCCTCTGAAATCCTAGGGGAAAGATTATAAAATTCCAGAACCCACTGATGACCGTCTTCCTTATACAAGAGTTTACAGGAATGGAGACAGAATGATTAATGTGGGAGGTAAACATGTCTCTTGGTTTGGTCTGCCTTTCTTGGAGAGGTTAGGAAGGTCCCGTCCTCCTTGGTGTTTGTTGAGCAAGGAACAACAGGATAATTTTAAAGAACAAATATTCAAGGCTAATAAATACTGGTTAGAAAGATTCCAGTCCAGGGACTGGGGATGGTTTTCAGAAGAAAGATCAAAGCAGTGGATTTTAAGCTGGTATAAAACAGATGTTCAGGTCTTTGAACAGAGACACAGAATGAAAAGACTCTGAGCCAGCTGAAACCAGGAAACGAAAGTCGCAGGCCAAGGATGACTGTCACAATAAGTGTCTTTTAAGTGCGTAAAGTTTACATGAATTATTAAAGCTTTTCTTAGAATTTTGTCTGACCTTTATGTGATCACCTGATCTAATATTCTGTAATCATTGCCAACTTTTGGTCTATATAATCTGCTACCTTGATTCAGTAAAAATGTATTCAGCTCCAACCCTGTGTGGTGTCTGTTTGTCACTCACTGAATCCCTGCTCACTGCTCCCTCTCCCTGTTCCCCTCGGACTGCTGCTCCCCCTCGAGTCTGGTCCCTCGCAGAGGACAGAAAAAAGGATTCATGTTTCAAACACCCAGCAGCCCTACCTCCTCGGCTTCCACTCAGGTTTCTAGGACAGCCTTTAGTTATTATCCTGGGCGGGTAGTCTCTGGAAGTCTGACTCCAACAGAGAGGAAGCCTACTCCACCTCAGAGAGGTGGCTACCCAAGAGGTCAGGACCTCCAGCGTTCTTCTTACGGGCCTGCTGTGCTCTTGGTCTCAGAGCTGCTTGTACCTTTTCCCAGACTGCAAAAATAAATCTTTGGAGTCACCTGAGAGGACTAAAGGGACCACTTCTTAAATAATAGCTGTAGAGCTTGATTGCAAATAACAGTTAATTCAAGAAGTGCCATCCTTACATCAGGAGAAAGGACAAGCCTTTAAGCTAAAAGAACAGTTTGCTCCCTTCAGACCCCTTATGGTACCACAGGTGTGGAAGAACTGGGAACCTCGCCCCACAACTAACTGCCTCTACCCGATGGTTCTCTGCTTCTTAGTTGAAATTAGATGGGCAGAGAGAGCCTAGGAAGCACCTCTCTGAGGTCTGGTTTGGAGTTCTGTCTGTTCAAAGGCTTCTGAGGCCTTCCTCTCCCTCTGCTTTCAGAACCTGTGCATCTGCCGTTTTCTCCCCTGGCTCTGGACAGGAATGTTTGAGGTGCCCCATTTACTGGACTGCTCATTGGCTAATGGCGCATTACTCTGCCTGCCTTTCAGCCTGCTCTTGGAATCTTAATGATGTTCCTTTAACAGCCCAGAAGAGCACCGAGTGAATACTGAATGATTTCTGCAGAAAGCTGCCTTTGCAGTTCTTCACTCCTTTCTTACCCCCACCCCAGATAAGAACCACGGCCCTCTGACAGAAATAAGCACCCAGCCCTATCCAGGGAGGAAAACCCTTTGTTTTAAGAGCTGAGCAGACGCTTGCATACCTATGTAGTGAGGCAGCCCAGGCAGAGCTTAGAGAGGAGCCTCAGAGAGACGATGCTAGAGCAGCTATTTTCTTCCCCTACACGTGCACCCCCATCTGTTCGAGAATTCCCTTCCAGCTCCAGCTTGGCTGGCAGGCATGTCCCTAAGAAGCTGCAGGCCAAAATGGAAGAGAACTGATTCCCTCCTCCACACATCCTGACTTGCTGCCAATTGCCAGAAAAAGAGGGCAACGTTTGGGCATTTACCAAAAGACGAGGATGTGCCTTTTCATTTGTCTTTATTTTACATTTAAAAAGTGGTTATTGCTCTAACTGGGTTGGAGGTAAGGACCTCCCTTAAGGAGCCTTGGCCTTGCAGCCCCCGTTCAGCAGGGATGGAAGTCACGAGACAGTGAGTGGAACCTCATTCCCTCCCAGGAGGAAGCCCTTAGTATTGCTGACATCTGCCCTTACCCGGCTGTCTCCTCTCCTGTGCCACTGCAGTTGGAGAAAGCAGAGTGGTGGCTGACCCAGCTTTGAGAGCTGTTAGAGACCCAAATGAAGGGGCAGTCATTGGGTGATGGCTTTCAGCTCTGACTTGGGCACCTGTGCTCATCATTCAGTACCACAGATATTTTACCAAGCACCTACTATGTGCTGGGAACAGCCTCCCACACTACCTTGGCGACCGATGGAAGATGTAGAGTCCACCTTTTCCAGTGCAGGCGTTTGGCAGCCATGGTGCTTCAGTCTGCTGCCTCATCAAGCACCTTTTTTTGTTTTTGTTTTTAAACCAAGAAGGGGCAGAGGAGAGGAGAGGTGGGGGTGGGGAGGAGAGAGAGAGAGAGAGAGAGAGAGAGAGAGAGAGAGAGCGCACTAGCTGTCACTTTACACTTCAAGCTCTAGGGAAGTAGATAAGTAGATGAGAACCCTGGATAACTTTCAGAGGACCCTGAATGAGATGGTGAGATCCAAAGGCCCCCAGGCCAGCAGTGACAGTGGCTGTTCTCTTCCTGTCTGATGTGACCTGCTTTCCAGCAGCTTAGTGAGGCTGTAGGATGCAGATGTTTTCAGTTCTCCGAGCTGACACTGCTGCCACAGTCGAGGCACTTCCTTTAAAAGCGGGCAGTACCTTCCAGAGCTTCTTAAAACTCCACGCTGATGATGTCACCACAAAGATCTATCTTTGTGCAAGATAGATGTAAGCAAACATCTTGGGCCTTGGCAGAGCCGTCTACATCCTGGAGTGCAGCCCTCTAATGGTGTTTTCCAAGAGTCCAAACAACTGGCAGCATACACATTTGCAAAGGTGCACCTCATACCATAGATGCCCTTAGTGGCTGGATCCAGAAAGTTATGGAGTCAGGACCTGAAAAGCAGGCAGCCCTGCAGCCTCTCTGGTCCCATTGGTCTGACAGATGCAGCTCCAGCTAGTCTTGGTATCTGCTCTCTCCCAGAGCTTTGTGCATTTTCTCGAAGAGGAAGCCAGTCCAGGAGAAGTAAGGCAGGACTCTCTCATGTACTCGTGCATTCTTCAGAACGGGGTGCAGCCTTCTAGCTTTGTGGCTTATTTGATTTTTTGCAGAGTTTGGGTTTGCAGTTCAGCCTCCTTCGTCAGACTAAGATGGGGAAAAGGAGAAACTGTGGCTAGCTGTGCCCCCTCCACTTCACAGCCTCCACGCTGTGCCCAGGAAGGACAGGGACCAGCGGAGGAGGAAGCCCATCACCTGCAGACGAGGGTATCCATGCTTTGATGATGTTCACGGAGAGCTTGTTTGGAAACCAGGAAGGGAACAAGAGAACTGCCCCGAGCCTGTCGAATGAATCTCTTGTAAAGTAGGAAACAGGACAGAGGAGAAAGGGGCTGCAGCCTAAAAGCCAGGCTCTTGTCCCTCACAGAAACAAAAAGAATAGCCCTGGAAGTCTTGGCTTTCTCCCTTTTCACACACAGCCTTCGGTCAAGCTGAGTGACCCAGATGTGAGTCCTGTGCCAAGAGCCCTTGCACCCAGCCTACCCCCAGTAATGGCATCCCTCCGGCTGGGTCCTCTATTCTGCAGCTCTGTCTCTGGGTGTAGCCTCAGCCACGGACATTATTGAGGTGCTCCTGGAGTTAGGGGTTAGTTAGATGCTTCAGGAACCGATATCAGAAAGAGAGAAGCCAAGAGAGAAGATAATAAGCCTGATGATAGAGAAGATGAAGGTGGGAGGAGACGCAGAGAGGGCCAGATGCGTGTTGGACAATCATCGTCAGAACAGTGAGGTCCTCTCGCATTCTCTACTGACTTCTGTGCTGCTCAGAGCAAGCACTGAAAAGGTTTCATATCTGTTTTCGTAAAAGAGGAAGTGAAGATACTGAGGTAAAACACTGCCCCAGGCACGCCTGCTGTCCCAATCAGGAACTCTTTGTTTCCCATTGGCTGTCTTAAACACACACACACACACACACAGACACAGACACACACACACACACACAAGACACTGGCCCTTGGCACTCTGCAAAAGGCAAGGATCCAAAATCAATTTGCAGTGTCCTCTGTGTCACAGAGGCAGCAGCCAAGCTTGGCTTTGCCCAGCTGCTGCCATGCCAGGCCCTGAGCTGACCCCTTCCCTCCTGCAGTCTAGGGACTACAGATTACAGATGTTTAAGGCACAGGGCCACCCACCAAGCCAAGGTGTTCCCCTCACCTTGCTGCGGAGGAGACCCCCACCCTGGTGCTCTGGTGTGCTGGTTTCTGATGCACTCTTGGTTTTCTCCTTGTTGTTATTGGGCTCGTTGTCCTTGATGATGTCATACTGGCGGCAGAAGAGAGCTATCACACCTAAGAAGTAAGACAGGGGCAGTCTGAGTTCTCGCCTCGACTGCTGTGTCCCCTCCAGTGCTTGCTGCCGTCCCTGAATGGCCTCTGCATGGCTGCTGAGCCTCCCCTCCAGCCTCTGGCTCCTTTTCCCACCTACCTGGCCCTCAGCCATCTATATCATCGCTGCTGGGCTGGTCCCCCCCATCCCCCGCAGCATGGATCTGATCATGCCTTCCTGTTGTTACTCTTTCTTTAAGCCTTTGACAGCTACCACAGAAATGATCATGGCACTTATCGAGCACATGCCAGGCCCTGTGCTGTGCATGGACGTAGCGAATCTCACTTGATCCTTACAATTCCAACCTATTATTATCAGTCCCAGGGTACAAGGGGAGCGAACTGGTGTGACAGTTTCCTTAACTCAAGCTCACGCCATGGTGCAGCTAGGAGGTGCTATGCAGAGCCTGTTACTGTCTACTATCAGCTCAGTAACATGGATAGTATTCACACTGCTAACTCCAGTTCGAGGTGTGTACCACTCTAACGTTCTTTCTCGACCCTTGCTGGAGAGCTTTCAACTTCCCACCATAGTGGATAAAGCCCAATCGCTCCGACATCTCTCTCTAACATCCTAAGAGACGCCCGCCACAAGTTTGGGTTACTTCTCTGTTTATATTGTTATGATTACATAAACACTGTCTGTGCCGAGTCTAATAATGTACCATACTTAAACCTCCCTTTCCATGTAGCCCTTGTCGTCCTGCCTTTTCTCAAGTGCCTGTTTTTCTGTGTGCCTAAGAAACCCTTTTCCCCCCAAATGCTTCTTCAACAGAGTCTGCCTTCAAATACCGTACTAACTAGGCTTGAGCGAGATGTTCCAATCTCTCTAGAAATTCTAGCCTCCAGCCTCCCCTCCCTTTCTTCCCAAACTGTCCACCTTCTCTCCTAGGCTGCAGCTACTGAGTGAGTCTGTGAGCATCTTTTGCTATTTCTCGAACCTCTTATCCCAAACAAGCATCCTCTGTTGGATGCCTGGTTAACTTCTATTCAGCCTTCATAGCTCAACTCCCATGTTCCCTCTGTTCTCAGTCTTTGGTCCTGTGCTTTCGGGGTTGGAAATCGAACCTAAGACTTCGTGGATGATGGGCAAGCACTCTTCCACTGGGCTACACCTTCACTCCAGCGCCATGTTGTTTTTCCCCTACTTTCTAGCTCCAGAATTGACCTCATCTCCTCTGTTCTCATATTATGCTATTTTAAGTTAATTTATTTTTAATTGTGTGTGTGTGTGTGTGTGTGTGTGTGTGTCTGTGTGTGATGTAGGTGCAGGTACCCACAGAGGCCAAAAGTGTTGGATTCTCCTAGAACTGGAGTTTCTGGTGGTTGTGAGTCACCTGATATGGATTCTGGAAACTGAACTGGGGTCCTCTGGGAGATCAGGAGGCGTTCTTAATCTTGGAGCCATCTCTCCAGCCCTGTCCCCCACATTAGAACTACCATAGTGCTCAGTATCTTCAATTATAGCTAAGCACAATCTTGTTTTAGCCCATGTTCCTTGCAAGCATACGGCTCTTCCTAGTCAAGAGTAACACTTGCACTCTCCAATGGAACGGCTGGTCAATGCTTGCCAGTGCATTGAATATAGAGACGAATGACATCTGGACTTTATCCTCAGGGAGTTGAAAGATTAGGAAGAAGAGAGAGTATCACAAGCCCACCCATAAGGATTAAAGAAGGACAGTGTGCTGCAGGGCCACAAAGGCAGGAAAGCCATTCCTGTGAGTGCGTGGGGGATGTGCATGGCCGCAGCTCAGCTGCACGTGGAAGAGGTAGATACGGAGAGGGCTCCAAGTCTGAGGTCAGGCATGGGTGCCTCTGACATGCTTGACAACCCTCGGAGGTCCAGCATCCCAGGAGAGGAGGAAGCACACTGAGTGTAGCTATGGCTACCCTGGAAGGCTGGACCACTTCCAAGAGGAAAAAGGCAAGTAAGTGCCCACCACATACAAGATGGAAACAAAATGTTGTGTAGAGGGGATTAGAGAAGGGATTTAGCCCTAAGAGAAGCCAGGCAGGTCTTAGACATCCCCAAGCCCCTACCCTGGGTGACAGTTGGGTTGCTTAAGGTTCTCACTTCCTCAAGAGTCAGTAAAGAAGGACCTGGAGGCCTGACTCACCTGCCCACATGAAGAGGACCACGACAATGATCAGCACCTCACCCGTTCGCAGCTGCTGGTTCCTCCCCATCTCCTTCATGGTCACCTCATCTGTGGGGAGAGATAGGCTAGTCCTGGGCTCCTTTCCTCCCTGGCCATGCCCACAGCAAGGAGTGCCTCTGTCACTGCCAACTTGCCCAATGTAAAGAGATCCAGGAACAGGGTGAAAGCTGTTTGGGGCTTTGAACTCAATTCAAAGGAGAAAGTCTGCATACCAGTCTCCTTCTGGGGGCCCTAAAGCAAACCTTCTTCTCTGGAGTTGCTTGTCTTTGCTCCTGCTCTGCCCAACCTCCCTCACCTAACTCACCCTTCACCCTAGGACTCTAGCATGCCCCAGGCTTGCCTTTGTTCTTTGAGGCCATCTTTTCGGCCTCGCGTGGGGTCTTGAAGAGCACAGGCTCACTGGCTGGGCTCTGGCCCTGAATCGAGATGGCTTGCACATGAACGATGTACTCTGTGTCCTCCTCTAGGTCCCAGAGAGCGCAGGATCGGGTGGTAGTGTTCACTTCCTGAATGAAGCGAAGCATCCGCACGTCCTTCTTCTAGAAAGGGGAGGGCTTGGTGTGTTAGCATGCAGCCACCAACCCCACTTCCTCCCACCTCGACAGTGACAAGTCCTCTTGACGCCTGTTAGCGTCCCATCACCCGGGGCATCCTTATTCCCACTGTACAGGTAAGGAAACAGGTTCAGAGAGGTCAGAATGTTGCCCAGGACCACACATCTTCTGAGGATGCAAGTATGTCCTGCGTATTTGAGGTCAGACCCATGCTCTGAATTGCCATGTCCCAGCCAGGACCTCCTGAGCCCTTGCCCATGGACTAA